TCATTAATTACTCATTGGATAAGCGTTTACTAAAAAATATTGGTCTCAATAATTGCAGAGAGTTTAGACATATACGAGAGATTAACAGTAGCCGACGCGCTAACACCGGTCCAGTTCAACGACGGCGACATAATTGTAAAACAGGGCGAAGCGGGCGATGACTTTTACGTGATAGAAGAGGGCACGGCTATAGTATTTCAACGCCGGTCGGCCGATGAGCCGCAGGTGGAAGTGGGCCGACTCGGCCAATCGGACTACTTCGGGGAGATCGCACTACTGCTGGACAGACCCCGAGCGGCCACAGTGGTGGCCAAAGGGCCGCTGAAGTGCGTCAAGCTGGACAGGGCTCGGTTCGAGCGCCTGTTGGGTCCGTGCGCCGACATCCTCAAGCGCAATCTGGAGCACTACAACTCCTTAATTTCACTCTCCGTTTAATGTCTTAGTGTCGATCTCTTCGCACAAATATAAACATTAACTTTAGGTCTTTGTTATCAAACAATTGACATTACTTTTAACCGCCTTTTCTTCTAATCGGATTCAGAATTAAGATATCATTTCAATTCTAAACCATTTATTTATTGAGAAAATAATGGTTTTTCACACAAACTTTCATTTCGACAGAATTGCAAACACTAAGAATTGGCAGAAAATAAATTAGATTTCGATTTCTAGTCATAGAGATGTCTAACAGTAGATTAGTTTTGATTCAAAACATTACTATTATTATTAGGTTTTTATTATTGCTATTATTGCTCATCAACTGATTTCTCTTTTTAATATTAAATTTGCGAGTCTTTGCAAACAATTTTAAGACAAATGTTATACATAACAGACATAATAAGAATGTAATAATAATATTAATATTGAAAAGAATTGCAAAGAAATTAACTGATTTCTCTTTTTAATATTAAATTTGCGAGTCTTTGCAAACAATTTTAAGACAAATGTTATACATAACAGACATAATAAGAATGTAATAATAATATTAATATTGAAAAGAATTGCAAAGAAATTATTGAAAATCTAATTTTATTTGACGAAAAGTCTTATTTTATTTTCAAACGTTTGCTTATGATTTACTTGTTGTTTTTGTTCACATATTGGTTGCTTTGAAATGATTTTATTTGAATGTTTAAATCTATCGAAAACTTAGTTTTGTGTAAAACTAGAAAGTTTTCATAACAATGTATTGTATGTAAAGAATTGGCAATTTTCGAAACATTGCTTTGCACTCCATTTTATCAATAGTTAATATTAATAGCATTACAATAACATAAGTATATTATATAATATAATATATGAATTATATGAAAAACTTTTTTAACTAACTATACATCAATAGACATTTTGGCGATAAGACTCTAATGACTATAACTGTAGACAATATAATAATTTTTCTAAAAGAAGATCAACAATAAAATAATTGAAAACTATATGTCATGAAACTGAGTTTTTTATTTGTTTTGTGTTTTGCTTTTCACTGTTTTCTCACTTTTCAAAAATACCTGTACTTCGAAACAAGTGGTGAATTGAAAACTAAATTAGTTTCAAATATTCTGCTTATAGTTAGCGCTGAATCGACATAAATATAACCAAATTCTCGACTATACTATACTTTCTATACTTTGCAGCACTTCCACCATACAGTATACTACACTGTATTGTATTCTCGATAATCACTCATAACTTAATATGAGATTATATTTTATTGCACAAAGTTGTGAATAATAATCACAAGTATTTGGAAATACAGTATAAGTTGTGAGATAAAAGTGTTGTTTGTATCATATCATCACAAATCCTGTTCTCGTTTTTGGTGTTTCCATAAGAACTCATTTTGCAGCAAATCCGGTGTCAAGTATTTCCACCTTTTTTTATATCACTTTCCCATCACTTAAGTCATCCTATTTTCCACACCATTTGTTTCACTCATATCCACAATACAGTCAATAGCTATATATGGAGAGTATTACTCTGTATATTAAGTTATATGATATTATGTATGAATGAGAGAGACCTTCACATTAATTACATTTTTATCAATTCTTCACTCCAATCATCCTTTCATTAATTCAATACAAACCCATTTCTATAGACTATAGCCATTAGTTTACTAAAACAAAAGCCTTTATTTCAATTCAAATGTTTGTCACTTCAAACATCTTTGTGTCAGTGGTTAGTGTGAGGCAGTTGTCACCACTTTGCCGGTTATAATATCTCCTTCATCCTTCATTAGTTTCACTCAATGCATACTCTCATACAGTAATACAGTATTACTAATACTTGTATAATATTCTGGTTTACATTAACATAATGCAGGAATAAGTTTGACAAACAAAATATTTGTGCGATAGTTGTGTTTCCGGCAATGTTTGCAATGTTCAGTGTTTGGCTGTTTGACTGTTTGGTATTGTGGGCACTACTGCATGGCATGCATGGGAAGGGTGTGATGAGTGCGACAAACGTACCAAACGTACAACTGCTACAAATGGCACTCAACTCACGCACACATAACCCAATCCCATAGCACACACCCCTCTCTCCCTCGCACCCAATCCGCGCCCAACAGATTGACTGCCATTTCGTTTGACTTTTTTCATCTTTCGTCACGTTTTATGTAATGTTTGATCAGTTTTTCACAAATACTTTGCCCACAAATGCAGCCCTCAATGCACTCACCACTGCCTCACTCACTGCATGCCCATAGGCTGTACAGTGTGGACCCCTTTGGACGTAATGTATGTGAGATGTGAAGTGATTTGAAGCGATGTTGTTGTGAGTGTTGTCGAGAAAAGGCGTGTCTTTTGACGATAGGTTTGAGTGAATGAATGGTTGAGTTGTTTGACGGCTGAGGAGAGAGTGAATCCAAACCATTACCACAACTAACACACGACACGACCATTGAATCAAATTATTTATACATTTTTACCACACTTTTGACAATCGGTTTGATTTGGTCGCCAAAACACCGCTCAATACAGACATCGCGCGAAGATGTCGTCTGATGTGAATCGAGTGGACCCGGAGTTCAAGTTCCTGGCCGTCGACCGGACACTGGTGTCGGACCCGACGAAAGCGGCCGAATGGGCGGCCAAACGACTGGTTTGGATCCCTCACGAGACGGCCGGCTTCGTGATGGCATCCGTGAAGGTGGACAGGGCTGACGAAGTGGAGGTGGAAGTGGTGGACACGAACAAGAAGTGTGTGGTGGCCAGGGATGACGTGCAGAAGATGAACCCACCCCGGTTCAATAAGGTGGAGGACATGGCTGAGCTGACGTGTCTGAACGAGGCGTCAGTGCTGCACAACCTGAAGGACCGGTACTTCTCGAGCCTGATCTACACCTATTCGGGACTCTTCTGTGTAGTCGTGAATCCGTACAAAAAGCTTCCCATTTATACGGATAAAGTGATTGAGTTATACAAAGGCAAGAAACGACACGAAGTGCCGCCGCATATCTTCGCCGTCACTGACGCCGCCTATCGCTCGATGCTTCAGGACAGGGAAGACCAGTCCATTCTGTGCACCGGCGAGTCCGGCGCCGGCAAGACTGAGAACACCAAGAAAGTGATCCAATACTTGGCTTACGTGGCCTCGTCTAAGCCGAGGACATCGACATCCACTTCATTGCACTCATACCACGCATCGCCGCCGCCGCCAAACATTATCGGAGAGTTAGAGCAACAGCTTCTCAAAGCCAATCCTATTCTCGAAGCCTTCGGTAACGCAAAGACTGTCAAAAACGACAACTCATCCCGTTTTGGGAAATTCATACGAATCAACTTCGACGCCTCCGGGTTTATAGCCGGCGCCAACATCGAGACCTGTAAGACATTGTAACCACTCTTTCATTTCCATTGTCTCATTCATTGCTTCACTGCTTAGACCTCTTAGAAAAGTCGCGAACAATAAGACAGGCCGTCGACGAGAGATGTTTCCATATATTCTATCAGTTATTAAACGGCACTCAAAGCGAGCAAATCCGGGACTTCTTGTTGGAAGACGTGAAGAACTACACGTTCCTGACTCACGGCAATGTGCCGGTGCCCGGAGTGGACGAGACTCTCGAGTTCAACAACACTGTACAAGCGATGCAAATAATGGGTCTGTCGGGTGAAGACCTGAGTGCCATATTCCGAGTCGTGTCGTCTGTCATACTGTTTGGTAATATGAAGTTCAAACAGGAGAGGAACTCAGATCAGGCCACCCTTCCCGACAATACTGTGGCCCAAAAAGTCAGCCATTTATTGGGTCTAAACGTGACGGAAACGATAAAAGCATTCCTAAGGCCGCGCCTCAAAGTGGGTCGCGATTATGTGACCAAAGCCCAGACCAAAGAACAGGTCGAGTCTGCCGTTGAAGCCATCGCTAAGGCGTGTTACGAAAGAATGTTCAAATGGTTAGTCCATCGGATCAACCGCTCACTGGACCGCACCAAACGACAGGGCGCCTCATTCATCGGCATCCTCGACATCGCCGGCTTCGAGATCTTTGAACTCAATTCCTTCGAACAGATGTGCATTAATTACACGAATGAAAAACTGCAGCAACTCTTCAATCACACGATGTTTGTCTTAGAACAAGAGGAATACCAACGCGAAGGCATTGAATGGAAATTCATTGACTTCGGTCTCGATTTACAGCCAACTATTGATTTGATTGAAAAGGTATTTCTATTTCTATTTGTCGAGTTTTGTACAAAATTAAACTCACTTTTGGTATCTTATTCTCTATCAGCCAATGGGTATTCTGGCGCTTCTGGACGAGGAGTGTTGGTTCCCTAAAGCCACGGATAAGACGTTCGTCGAGAAACTTATGTCGGCCCACAATCAACACCCAAAGTTCATTAAATCAGACTTCAGGGGAACGGCTGATTTCAGTATAATTCATTACGCCGGAAAGGTATTCATTGTTTGGCTTCTCTTGTGAGTCGATTATATAACATAACTCTATTCAAAGGTCGACTATTTGGCAACTCAATGGCTTATGAAAAATATGGATCCATTGAATGAGAATGTGGTCTCACTTTTACAAAACTCTTTGGATTCGTTTGTTGTCCAGATATGGAAAGATGGTAAGCATTATGATTATTGTTTGCAAACATTAAACGCTGTAATTGATTGGTTTATTTAGCTGAGATCGTGGGTATGGGTGTGGCCACTATGGGTGACACTCAGTTCGGCGCCCGCACCAGGAAAGGGATGTTCAGAACTGTTAGTCAACTATATAAGGATCAGTTGTCCAAATTGATGGTCACTTTGAGGAATACAAATCCAAACTTTGTTCGCTGTATTATTCCTAATCACGAGAAAAAGGCGGGAAAAATAGACGCACCGCTTGTGTTGGATCAGTTGAGGTGCAATGGAGTCCTCGAAGGAATCCGTATCTGTCGTCAGGGCTTCCCAAACAGAATACCATTTCAAGAATTTAGACAACGATATGAATTGTTGACACCCAATGCTATTCCCAAAGGCTTTATGGACGGGAAGCTCGCGTGTGAGAAGATGATTGTTGCGCTTGATTTGGACCCCAATCTGTATCGCGTCGGCCAAAGCAAGATATTCTTCAGGGCCGGCGTTTTGGCACAACTGGAAGAGGAGAGAGATATGAAAATATCTGATCTGATAATCAACTTCCAGGCGTGGTGTCGGGGACTACTCGCGCGCCGTAATTATCAAAAACGTCTGCAACAGTTGAACGCCATTCGCATTCTTCAGCGCAATTGTGCCGCTTATCTGAAGCTGAGGAACTGGAGCTGGTGGAGGCTCTACACCAAAGTAAAGCCATTGCTTGAAGTGACCAAACATGAGGACAAACTTCTCGAGAAAGAGGACGAACTGAAACAAGTGAAGGAACAGATGGTTAAAGCAGAACAAGACGTTCTCGAGTTGGAGAAGAAGTTCCAGCAAATAGTGGACGAGAAGGCGATGATTGCGGAACAGCTTCAGGCGGAGACCGAACTCTGCGCCGAAGCAGAAGAGGCTCGACTCAGACTCGCCGCTCGGAAACAGGAGTTGGAGGAAATACTTCACGACTTAGAGGCCAGGATTGAAGAGGAAGAAGAGCGCAACCAATCATTAACCGCCGAAAAGAAAAAACTTCAGTTAACTATTCAGGACTTAGAGGAACAGCTCGAAGAAGAAGAGACGGCTCGCCAGAAGTTACAGCTCGAAAGGGTCTCACTCGACACTAAAGCCAAAAAACTTGAGGAAGACTTCGCTGTTGTCGAGGACTCCAACAATAAATTACTTAAAGAGAAGAAGGCTTTAGAGGACAGACTCTCAGAGATATCGCATTCGGCATCTGAAGAGGAAGAGAAGGCAAAACATTTGAGTAAATTAAAGGCTAAACACGAGGCGACGATCGCTGATTTGGAGGATCGGCTTAAGAAAGAGCAACAGGTATGGCATGTGTTTGCTAACGATTTTGTAATTTATATTTTTTACATTGCCTTCAATTATTTGGAGCATTAATTCACTTGTTTTCAAAATAAGGAAAAGTGACGCAAATATAGTATAAATTTTTTATGAGATCTATAGATAAGGCATAACTTAATGGGTGGGCGTTAAGCATAACTAGTTTGGATTTACCTCTAAATATGTTTTATCGAATATTTTCGGATTATTTGATTACATGTAGTTTATTAAATGATCGCTTTATTTGTTTTGTTAATTGTATTTATATTTTTTTACTTCGGATATGCACTGATTGAAGTATTTTTTTTGAATACATTTTAAGCCTATTATTTTAACCTTTAACTCAATGCCTGTAATCTGAACTTTTTTTCAATCATCGCATTCATAGATAAGACAAGAGCTCGAGAGAGTGAAGAGAAGGCTCGAGACAGAGCTGAATGACATTAAAGAGCAGTTGAATGAGAAGCGCGTGCAGGTGGAGGACCTCCAGACACAGCTCACCAAACGCGAGGAAGAGTTGAGTCAAGCGTTGCTCCGATGCGACGAAGAAAGCGCATCGAAGGCTCAGTCGAGCAAAATATTGCGGGAATTGGAGTCTCAACTAATGGAAATGCAAGAAGACTTGGAGAGTGAGAAGCAGTCTCGAGCTAAGGCCGAGAAACAAAAGCGAGACCTGAATGAGGAGTTGGAAGCACTGAAAAACGAATTGTTGGACTCCTTGGATGTAACGGCAGCTCAACAGGACTTGACAGTGAAACGCGAGCAAGAGTTGGAGCGTCTGAAGAGGAGTCTGGAGGAGGAGTCTAGTCAGCACGAGTCCCAGTTCTTAGATATTCGTCAAAAACACGCCAAAGCCATCGATGAATTGAACGAACAGTTGGATAACCTGAAGAAGAATAAGGCGACGCTCGAGAAGTCCAAAGGAAATCTGGAGGCAGAGAACGCCGATATGGCCAATGAGTTGAAGACTTTGAACTCCACTAAACAAGAGAGCGATCGTCGGCGCAAACAAATGGAGACTCAGTTACAAGAATTAGCCGCAAAACAAACGGATACCGAAAGAATTAAATCTGATTTAAGCGATCGAACGGTTAAACTCCAGACAGAGTTGGAAACAGTGAGTCTTCAGTTGGAAGAACTGGAACGACGCGCTAGTCATGCCATTAAGAACAGCTCCACTCTTGAAGCACAACTCACTGAAGCTCAGGACCTTCTCCACGAAGAGACCAAACAGAAGCTTACGCTTAGCTCTCGTCTGAGACAAGTAGAGGCCGAAAGGGATGCCCTCCAGGAACAGATCGAAGAGGAAGAGGAAGCGAAGAATAATTTAGACAAACAAATCGCACAATTAGTTCAACAAATCGCTGATATGAAGAAGAAGACTGACGATGAAACCGAACTCTTGGTTATGAGTGAAGAGTCGCGCAAGAAATCTGCCAAAGAATTGGAGCTTTTGCAGAGACAATTGGACGAGTCTTTGGTGAACGCCGACAAGTTTGAGAAGTCCAAGAAAAAGCTTCAGTCAGAAGTGGAAGATTTAAATATCGAAATCGAAAGCCAGAGATCGAAAGTCTCGGAATTGGAGAAAAAGCAGCGAAAGTTTGACGCCATGTTAGCCGAAGAGAAGACATTGTCTGAACGAATAGCCGCCGAACGCGACAACGCCGAGAGGGAGGCCCGAGAGAAGGAGACGAGAATCCTGTCGCTGACCCGCGCTCTCGAGGAAAAGGAGGAACAGTTCGAAGAGTTGGAGAGAGCGAGACGTCAGTTACAGACAGAACTCGACGAGTTGGTCAACAACCAGGACTCGGCCCACAAGAACTTCCATGACTTAGAGAAATCCAAACGCAGTCTCGAGAACTCTGTGGCCGAACAAAAGGCTCAGATCGAGGAACTGGAGGACGAGTTGCAGTTGAGTGAAGACGCGAAGTTGCGGCTCGAAGTGAATATGCAGGCGCTTAAGTCACAGTTCGATAGGGATATGATGGCCAGAGAGGAACAGGCGGAGGACAAGCGCCGACTTCTGCTCAAACAGGTCAGGGATTTGGAGGCGGAGTTGGAGGACGAGAGGAAGCAAAAGGCGGCCGCAATTGGCGCCCGAAAGAAACACGAGAGTGAATACCATGATTTGGAACAACAGATGGAAATGGGAAACAAACTCAAAGAAGACGCTCTCCGACAGTATAAGAGACTTCAGGCGCAGATGAAGGACTACCAGAGAGAGGCCGAAGAGGCGAAAGCCATGAGAGATGAACTGATAGCACAGGCCAAAGACGCCGAAAAACGTGCCAAATCTTTAGAGGCAGAAGTGGCTCACCTTCAGGAAGACTTGGCCACCAGTGAGAGGGCCCGTCGGACGGCTGAAAACGAACGCGAAGAGCTCTACGAGGAGAACAACTCTTTGGGACCGCTTAGGGCTCTCATTCAGGACGAGAAGCGCCGAATGGAAGCCCAGTTGAGTCAACTGCAAGAGGAGCTCGAGGAAGAACAGAGCAATTCTGAAATACTGATGGATAAGACTCGCAAACTTCAGACCCAAATCGAGACGATGACCAACGAATGCGCGGCCGAAAAGTCGAATTCACAGAAATTGGAGAATTCACGACTTGTTATCGAACGCCAAAACAAAGAACTTAAGTCCAAACTACAAGAGTTAGAGACCTCTCAAAGAACTAAAACCAAAGCGACGATCGCAGCACTTGAGGCGAAAATCGCTCAAATGGAGGAATCGCTGGAACTCGAGACTAAAGAGAAACAAATGGCTTCCAAAGGAATGCGTAAAATGGATAAGAAGGTGAAGGATGCCCTCATGCAGGTGGACGACGAGCGCAGACACGCCGACCAGTATAAGGAACAGGTGGAGAAAGTGAACAATAGGATCAAAGCACTCAAGAGACAGTTGGATGAGGCGGAGGAGGAGTGTTCCCGAGAGAAAGGCATTCGTCGCAAAGTGCAGCGAGAACTCGAAGACACACTCGAGGCCAATGAAGCGCTCACCCGAGAGATCGGAAATCTGAAGAATAAAATCAGGTATTTGTTAGCATTGAGTGGACAACTGTTGAGACGACCAGTGATTGATGAAAGTATTTCTTGCGTTAGACGTTCGGGTGGATCCGGTGGAGGCTCCAGAAGTTATCTCAATAACAAGAGGGGTTCCATGAGTGGTACAGGAGATGATGGATCTGTTGGCTCACCACTCGATGACGACAGTCCTGCCAACGACGACAGTCCCGCTTAACTTAAATAGCATTTGAATATATTTTATATTATATGCAATTAATTAGTGTTTTATTCAATCAATCAATGAATGGGATATTCATTTGGAAAGGTTTTGGAATGCATTCTATAAATACTATTTGTTTTAGTACTGCAATGGTTTGTAACAATCAAACAACTCTTTGCCTCAATATTGCCTTCAAATTGATTTCAAAATAATTATTACATTCCTTTCGAAAGGATGTGAAGAGCAATCCCTTCGCATCCATTCCGTTGCCTTCTTTACAATAGAAAAACCGATGTTTTTATCAATTTTTAAACTATTTTTGCAACAAATTCTTGAAACAAATTTATTACAAATTTCTTAAAGATAAGTATTTTAACGAATGAGCGTTTAGATAAGCATTTAATTATACATCACATGATTGCTATTAATTAATAATATTAATTGTTAATTATTATTGATTCAGAAATGAACAAAACATTAGATATGATATGATTTCCATCTAATTATTTCGATTAAATTTGTATAAATAATATTTTTTGCTTTTTATATCAAATGAATTTAAAGGTATTGTTTATAATAAGGTTTATTTCTTTATCGCATTGCATATAACTTATTAAGAAATCATATCTTTTTTAAAAAATATGAGACAATTACTATATAAATATATTTATATAAATTTGAGATTTTTTTGAATGAAACACGAAATATAACTTATTTTTTGAAACACTTCATGAGGTAATCGTCTGTACTTCGAAAGCAGTATTTTTAAAATAATTTGTAAAATGA